AAAATCACTCTTGCTCCGCTTGAATTTTAATCCCAGAGGTGCTGCTGATTTTATTTAAAAAAAATTTCTATTATCACAAAAAAAGTAAAACTTTTTTTTGAAATAAAAATTTTTGACTAATTAAGAGAAAATTTTTCTTTTTGTAGCAAACATACACAAACAATCACAGACTTTTTGGCACTTTTTGCCCCAAACTATTCCCTCAATTAGTCATTTTCTTTAAATAGTACTTCACCATGAAAAAAAAATCAAAAAAAAAAATTATTTTTATAACTCATTTATCTAAATATAACAATTTATGATTGTTTTCGCAACCAATCATTACGTCACTTGTTCAGCGTAATTTCACATTTTTTAAATTTTTCTAATGTTTTTTTGAGGCAAATTTTGAATTTTTGTGCTGAAACCTAGCATATCTTCAGTTAAATCCACGATTCCTTTCTCGATAAAATTTCATCCTGGACTAAATTTTTTGACTTTTTTAAAACCTTAGTTGAACGATTCCGCTTTACATTCACATTCTTTATTTTATTTTTAACATCAAAACATTGAATATTGTTGAAAAACTAACATATTCACAACAGGATTCAGGCGGTGCTTTTGAAGAATCCTAGCCGCAGCTTCATTCACTTTCTTCTTTTTACCAAACAAAGAACCAAATTTCGTGGAGCCTCCGTAAATGAAGTATCCTTTTCCGGATTTGCGACCTTTGAAGCCCGATGCTACCATTTCCTTCAATAGCTCCACTGAACTACCGCCAACACGTGGACCCAAAGCCTGAAATATTAAAATGTTAAAAAATCGAGCTGCGCTACCGTCCTGTAAAAGCGAATACATCGCCTTGCCTCCTACCCGCCATCCCAAATGAAAAAACCCAAAAAATAAAATAAAATAAATAGAATGCTTAATCCTTCGATGGTATTCCAGCGGGACGTCGGGAATCGACGTTCCCAGTGGAGATCGGATCTCCAACAGAAATCCGATTCCCTCGTTCCTAGACTACCTATGCTCCCGCCGCTTTTCCCACCGCAGATGAGATCTACGATGGTCAAATCCCTTCCTTGATTCCCATGCAGAACATTCTCAATCCCCGTTGTCGGAGATTGTGATTCATGATATTACTTGCAGGAAGAGCAGTATATAAGCTCGAGGATCCGATGTTCGTGGTCTGCCTTCACCTGCTATCAACAGTGCCGGCTGACACACTTCGCTTCATCCGTGATCTACTTAATCTTTATCCTACTCGCGCCTGTAACTATTATCGCATGTAATAAACCTCGTTCTAATTTAGTCTGGCCCGACACCTTCCAGGGGTATTTCGATGCACTGACATACGTGGTACCTAGATTTAAACAAACATACTTTTTCTGTTCTAAAACCATCTACGCAGGGGTAGCTACATGTACTTACGTTAACTAAATATACAAAAAATAACATACTTGTCCTAAAAATTCGGCGACATGTTGTGACACATCCAAGCCTACTTCATCCATCAGGGTTGCTGCGCCAACCGGGAAACCATAATCTTTCGTTATTTTATCCAATTCTTCCGGTGAAACACCTTCTTGCAACAATCGGCCAGCTTCGCTCATCATTGGGGCTAGACAGCGAACAACAAAAAATCCTGGACAATCCTGAAGAAAAAAAAACCAGTTCAACAATATGAAAATTGTAGGCCTGGATCGGTAGTGCAAAAAAATGCGGATTTATAAAAATAAGCGCAGAAAGTAGGAATTCTATACAGAAGTGTAAGTAAATGCTAAAGAATTATTTGGTGTAAACCTGAAAACTTTCTAAAATGCATAAGCAATAAAATTAAAATTAAATTTTGAAAAAATGAATTGAGCTGAATTTTCAACCTTTAATTTTTAAAAAAAAAACCCCTTGAAAAGAAGATTATCCAAAATAAGAAAAAACAGGAAACTTAAAAAAAACACCCCAAAAAGTCATCAAAAAACAGATTCTTTGAAACCGGAAAAATTAGGAAGCTCCAAAAAAAAATTCTCAGAAAAATGCGAGAAAATAAATTTTCTAAAAATACAGGAAACTCAAAAAACTGCCTTAGAAAGGAAAAAAAAAAGATTCTCCGAAATAAGAAAAAATAGCAAACTCAAGAAAAAACAAAAAAAAAACCCCTCGGCAAAATGCAAAAAACAATAAATATCTTAAAAATAAAGCTTCTACACTCACTTTTACGATAACCACTAATTTATTTTGTGCCAAACCCAACTGGGCTGCTTTGGCAATAGTTTCTTTGCTCGTCTTCTTTGTTGTTATCACTTCCAAGAGCTCCATTTTTTCGACCGGCGAAAAATAATGCATCCCGATGATACGTTCCGGCCGCGTGGATACTGATGCAATTTGGGTAATTGGAAGTGCCGAAGTGTTTGATGCAATAATACAGTGCTCTGGGACGACCGATTCGAGCTGTAAAAATTTTAAAAAAAATTTTTCTGAAAATTTTTTTTCTGTTTTTTTGAACAGCTTAATAATTTTTCCGCTTTTCCGGAAAATTAATTTTTTTTTTGTTTCATAGCTCCAGGATACAGGTACTGTTCTATTTTTCTTTTTCTTGTTTTGGAGGGCTGAAGAGGAGAAATATTAAAAAATTTCAAGGTAAAAAAAGATTTTAGGTTTCTTTGAAAAATGTCAAATGTCTGATTTCAGAACAGCAATGTTCAATTCAAAAAAAGTAAAAAAAATTTTTTATGTAAGTAGAAAAATATCAAAAAAAACCTCAGGAAAAAGACATAGAGTCTTTTTACGCCTTCGCTGTTTAAAAAAATCTAATAAAAACTCATAAGCACTCAAACAAAAAACGCCAAAAAAAGTTTTCTGATTAAAAATAATGAAAACTGTCAAAAACAAAAAATTTCCAAAATTTTTCCAACCAGAAAAACCTACGTAGTTTTTATTCAATTCGTTCGAAAGATTATAATTTTCGAATAGTGTAGCAAAAAAAACCAGTTGCAAACGACATAAAATAATTAGCCAGCGCACCGATTGCCGGTACGAAGGTGCGTATTTTGCACAGTTCCCTGCAGGTTTTTATCGCTTACGTCACTGTTTTTTCGAAATATGCTTCTAGCTAAAAGAACTGAAACTGGCCGTCGCATCTATCACAAAATATCCCCTTAAAATTTCAGCTTTGTAGCTTCTCAGACTTCCGAATTAACAACTTACCCACAAAAAGGTCTTGAGATGAGAACCCGGAACAGATGCACACACGGACAACCCTTCGACAATATTCGTTTTTGCATTGCATAGATGCCAAAAAAAGAAGCATAAATAACCTGCTTGATGATTTTGTGTTTCAGCGGTAATTCTTCGAATACGGCCTCGATGACAGCATCGCAATCGCGCAAATCGCTATACGAAAAAGTGGGTTTGAGATTTGCCATAAATTTATGTCGCTGATAATCCGTGATTCGACGCCGTTTCACTAGCCCATCGTAGTGCTTGTGGATGTGATTTTGGCCACGTGCTATGGCTATATCGTTCATATCCACCAAATACGTTTGAATACCTTTGTCAATGGAAACATTTGCTATGCCACTACCCATCAGACCGGCGCCAATTACCGCCAACTTCCTGGAATGGAAATTTTTCAAGTTAATCGATGGAAGGAGAAATTCTCAGTGGAAAATTTTCCCTTCCTGTTTCTTTTTAATTCATAAGAAAAATACTGCGTAAAATGCAAATAAGTGAATTATAAATTCATGAAAAGGCCTTCACCCCTTGGAGAGGGGGGTCTTTTCGCTTTCCTCCCTCAAAAATTAACCCCTAACCTTTGGAGATTTCACTTTCTGCATGCAAATATAGCAGCTGCTCAGCGAAAAAGCTGTCGATGGTTCCTTTTTTTTTGATTAAAACCCACTTGCCGTATAAGCTCATTTCATTATATATTACTTCTTATCTACACCACAACAGTCGTACTAACGAGATCCAGCTGTGATGATGGATAGACATCTTAATAGAACGAAACATTCCTGTTCATCTAATTATTTATATATATATATATTTGCATGTATATGTACTATATATATGTGTGTAAATTTACACGTATGTAAAAATACTTATATACATACATAAAATTGTAAAAAAAATGTTTACATAATAATGTGTCTTACACACATATGAAAAATAAATAAATATATATCTCAAAAAATACATCCTCCCTGTCAAACAGCCACTGGTTACAGATGTCTCTGTCATACCAGAATCAGCAGTTTCGGTCCATTCTGATCAATGCTAACACATCAAAATCGATTTCAACAAGATGGAATGGTACCCATCCACGGTCAAGCGGACACTGGGGGAGCTCACCAGTGAGGTGGAGAAACTCCATGGTACGCCTGTACGGTATCGCGTGGACTCGGAGAGCGCAACAACGAGTTGAATGGAGAAGTTGCCAGTTGCATCGATGGCGTGATAATGAACGCCCAAGACATTCAGCTGCTTAAGTATTCAAGTATATTTCAAAGACAAAAATATACATCATTATTAACACCTTTTTTATATGCCAATTTTAATTTATGATAGAAACGAATGAATAAATTACACAAGCAGTGGTTGTCCAACTCGTAAAATCGAATCTTCGACCTTTTCCACGCGAGCATTTCCACTTTCCATTGCATCATGCTTGACAGATTTTTAAATTTTAACTCGAAAAAATTCCTTACTCGACTTTTTTCGCTTCCCCAAATTTATTTCGTTTGCACTCGGTTCGGCCATTAAAAATACCAATCAGTGCCTTACATTGCGGGGTTTGTGTTAAATCACCAAATGCCTGAAATTACTTCTCTTACACCATGATCGCGCAGACCCCCCTCCCGGGTTGTTAGGACCTCTGCTGTTAATGAAATACACATTCATAAAAACTTCATGTTAATAAAATACACATTCACAAAATTCGGTATGAAACTGTGGCAACTTGTGAAGCGACATGAATCTAAGAGAAGAAATAATTGAAACAAATTCTGATGAAAAACAAACCAACGATTCCTCCAAGTAGCCCTGGTCAGGTCCCCTTGTTAGACCAGTTTCCACAACATCCAGAATTCTCAGCGGTGCTGGGTAATTTCCACTGGTCATTTTCATTACCTAAAAGAAAACTGACTAAAATCGATATAGCAGCGAATTGTTATTAGGCAAACATTAAGGCCGTTAGTCAGAGAAACAACTCTCAAAAACAGGATCGGAATACCTAGTGCAGTAATGAAAAATCACTGGCGACACGCACCCAATCACACATGCCTGGGGCCTGAATTTGAAGTCTTTGAGTTCTATGTGAACAGAAAACATTACCGCAAAATTGCAGCTTTTTAGCTTTTCTGCTTCCTGGGTCAGCGATTTCGAGCCAAAACTTTCGTGCGCTCGCACGCGAGACCTAGAAATGCAACAGAGTTGGTACCGCGGTCCTGAGGAGGCACTTGGCCAGGGAACCCACTTGCAAAATTTTGGCGCCGGAGCTTGTTTGGTTGCCGAGTCGAAATACCCGGACAGACGAACACACAAACACACACAAAATACATACATGCCAGGGTCATCAAAATATGCGTTTTTGCATTTGCACATGTGCAAAAACACATGACCAGCTTCAACAACTAGAAAAATATGTAATTAATAAATTTAAGCAATTCGTAGGTATCAATCGATCAACTACATTAATTTTCATTGATTTCCTTATTTACTCGTGATCGGTCAAAAAATAGCTGGATCATAATAAAAAGATGCTGGCATCAGTCCTCAACGATAAAACCTGTCTAAAGATCTACTACCTAAACAGCTATATTTTAAAAATTCGCACCGAAATTTACATTTTCTCGTGCTTTTTTCAAAATCACGCTCTTCAGCAGCGGTGTTTTTGTGAGCAAAAGATTCATGGCCTGCTTCCAGTAGGATCCTTTCCTGTCCGCTTTCAATGCTCCTGCTGAGAGTTGTCGTGCAGCTTCAACTGCAACCTAAAAAGTGTTTCTGTTTTTTGTGATTTGTTAAGCTATTGCATTTTTCAAATTAGTAAACTGGCACTGCTTGCTGTTACATGCATTTCGTCTTGCCAATTTTTATAAATTCATGTCGACAGACAAATTTAATTTGGCGCATTAGCACTATTTCATCTCTCGAAAGTTTCGCGTACGTGAGACACGGACGGTTCTAAGGAGCTAAATTTGAAATCTTTTGGTCATACATGGATAGGAAACATTCTCCTAAAATTTAGCTTTCTAGCTATCCCCGTTCTCGAGTTAGCAGTTTTCTCGCCAAAGCTTCCACTTGTCTGTACGTTGTGTCTGGACGTGCGTGAACTTCATCTTTCTGCAGTCTTTGTGCATTCCCATCGATATTCTAACATAACAATAATACACGTGCAAATTTTCGCGTGCCTACGGACGGTTCTGAGGAGCTGAATTTGAAATCTTTTGGTCATACATGGATAGGAAACATTCTCCTAAAATTTCAACTTTCTAGCTGTACTCGTTCTCGAGTTAGCAGTTTTCCCGCCAAAGCTTCCACTTGTCTGTAAGTTGTGTTTGGACGTGCGTGAACTTCATCTTTCTGCATTCTTCGTGCATTCCCATCGATATTCAAATATAACACTAATACACATGCAAATTTCCGCGTGCCTGCAGACTGTTCTAAGAAGCTGAATTTGAAATCTTTTGGTCAAGCATGAATAGGGAACATTCTCCTAAAATTTCAGCTTTCCAGCTATCCCCGTCCTCGAGTTAGCAGTTTTCCCATCAAAACTTTCACGTGTCCGTAAGTTGGGTCTGCACGTGCGTGATAGTTGACATCACACGCCTGGAGTCGCACTTGGCCAGGAAACACATTGCAAAATTTCGGCATCAATGCTTGCATGGTTGCTGAGTAGAAACACCTGTGCAGACGAATACACCTGTTTTCCTCTTCACCTATATTAGTTTCGGCAATCTTCATCGACACAGACACATGTGACATTGCTAGTACATTAGCATTGCCAGCTTCTTCACATGTATTACTTTTTACAGCCTTTCTTTTTCTATTATTTCTATTCGAGTCCCCTTCACCGTCATACCTGCCTTTGTGCCTATTTTTTCCGAAGTTTTTTTTTTTTTGATATTTGAAGAAAAAAGTTACTTGAACTTACTTTTTCTAAGTAATAATAGTTGTTCTCTTCAATGGATCGTAATCCTGGTCCAATAGGTTGCACAACACGATCAATAAGACCAATTTTCTTTGCTTTGACTGGGGGCAAAACTTTTCCAGTCAGCATCATACTTAAGGCTTCGGTGATCGGCACTAGTTTTGGTAAACGTTGGGTACCACCTGCGCCCGGAAGTAGGCCTAATTTCACCTAAACAAAAATAAATAAAACTGTAAGCATCAAAACAGTAAATAAAATATTCCTAAAACTATACACAAAAGAGCAAAAATACCAAATAAATAATACACCAGATGGTTCCCGGAACAGGAAGGCCTGGCAAAAAATAGACCCCGCGTATGAACCCCCGAAAAAGCGTGCAAATTTCTTCGGCGGGAAACGATTTCGCGGAACAGGCAAGGTACGAAGCTGAAACCCAGCTCACGATAGAATGGTCTGATTTAGGACAGGGGAAGTCCAGGCACTTTTGCATTCACTACATCTCAGTAATTCACACATGCCAGGGGAGTCAAGCCCGCCATCAGCTTGCTTGAAAGCAACCGTCGAAAGAGAAAGCCATCGACAGTCTCGAGCTAACTCTCGAACGCCCCCCCCCCCCTTC